TTATCTTCTCCTAGTTGTAGGTTTTCCAGGATACTGGGAAGACTGTTTATGTTGTGGATTAGGACTTCTAGTGTTGTTCCTAGCTTTTCTGTAATGAAGTATATAGTCCTTGGTTTTAGTCCTAGGTCCATGATCCACCTTGAGTTGGTTTTTGTGTATGGAGTGAGGTGTGGGGCAAGACCCACAATTATTTTTTTAAAGTTTTCATGTACTATAAACATGAATTTATCTTTAGTGTCCTTTCTCAAAGAACAGGATTGAAAATCTGAATTATACCTTCTTTAAACTCCAACAGAAAGTGTCTTTTACCTTCTACATTATTTCCTTGTAGAGTAAATGAAATAATTGTTTCCAATAATGTGGACAGGAGGAACCAGTCCTTGGAGAAGGACATCATGCTCAGAAGAGTAGAGGGACAGCACCCAGGAGAGGACCCAGATGAGATGGATTGATACAGTAACTGGGGCAATGGGAGTAGGTGTGTCAGATACAGTGAGACTGGCTCAGGACAGGGCAGGCTTCAGAGCTGTTGTACATAGGGCCGCTATGAGCCACAAGTGACTTGATGGCACATAACAACGACAATTTGAAATTGAAGATAGTATAATAAAAACAGTACTCAGTATTTGTGGTACAAATAAAAAACTTGCTAAAAATCAACTAAGTAGGTATCATGCTTTAATGTCCTTATTTCATTTGTTGGGGAATTATTGTAATGTAGGGGGTGTATTTTTTGCTCTGTTTTTAGTTTGGAGTTTTAAAAAATATTTATATTGATTTGTATATAATAATTCATATGCATCATGGTTTGCACATGTACTTTATGTTTTGTAGAGTCATTCATATATATTATGTTTCATTTCTGTATCTTGCTTTATACAATCATTCATGTGCATTATGTTTTATATCATTAATTACCATTGCTCTGTGGCTATTCTCACCTCCATCTTTTCAAGGAATTTTTCAATTTCTCTCTACTCACCAACCTCTGCTATTTCAGTAATTTCCACCCCTTTCACCGTTTTATGCCCCTTCTTCTACCCTCTTTCCCTTTTGAACATATGTACATATCTTGCTCCTATTATCCTCATAGCAGCCTCGTGCAATATTTGTCTTTACATGACTGAGATATTTCACTCAGCATAATAATGTCTCTTCCAAGTCATGTAGCATTTTACAAAATAGTTGGTCTTTTGTGTGTTGAGTTGATTGGATTTGCTGGATTTATTTAGCTAACAATGAGCTGTGGGCCAGAAGACTCTTGTTTAGAGCCAGTCAGGACCTGGTGGGTGGTCCTGTGTATTAAAATTTGGTTCCACCTCAAATGCCACAGGCCCTCAGGCCTGGTATTAATTGTGTTTGAAATGAATAATCTTCTAAGTGTTGCAGCACTGGTCTGCCAATTTGCTGTACTGAGGTAACTTGTGGTTGCTGTGATGCTGAACACTGTACCATGAGTGTGCCAAATGCTATAGTGGTTACCCATGGTATACAGTGTTTGGTGGAACTCTCAGATTAAGAAAAACTTGGAATCAGGAGTGACATCCACTTCCTAAACAAAATTATTCTGGAAAGTCTATGAAATCAGAGAAATGACAATATTATAGAACAAGGTTCAGGTCTTTTTTCATAGGATGAGTTGTAGTTGACTCAACAGCATTTAACAAGTTGTTCTTTAGTGCTGCATAGTCTTCCATTGTGTGAACATACCACAATTTCTCAGTCTATTTGTTTGTTTAAGACATTTGAGCTGTTCCCATTTCCTTGCTATTGTGAATAATGCTGCTATTAACATGGATATGTGTATCTCCATTTGTGTCTCAGTTCTGATTTCCTTAGGAGGTATTCCTAGCAGAATAATGGGATTTCTGTCTTCAGCTTTTTGAGAAAAATGCCAGACAGCTTTCCATAGCAGTTGTACCATTTTACAGTCACACCAGTGGTTCTTCAGAGTTCCAGTCTTGCAGGCAGTGCAGTAAGGCACATCACGGGCCAGGCAGCCTAGGTGCAGAACACTGCCAGACCTTTGGGCCTTCTTGGAGTTGGGCCAATGGGGATCTTGGACATTGTGAGCTAGCTGGCACAGGAGATGTGGACAAGGCTGACTGCAATGAGGATGTCTTGCCTACCTGTGGAGGGAAACTCATTGGAGCTGCTGTGAATCTGTAGGATGCAACTGCGAGTTTCCATCTGATGGAGCATTAGCTGGGTCTGGAACACCTATCACTGCCCTGGACAACACAAGACTCACAATGTCATCGAACCAGAGCCTGAACCCTCATAGGCTAAAGCAGATTGTCCTGAAACAGATCTAGGATGACCTCAGAGCTGGAATACAGCAGGTGAACACCATGTAGAAGATGGTCAAGTCCAGGTACATTGAATTCTACACTCATGTGTACAACTACTGTATCAGTGTGCACCAGTAGAACCAGGCACACAGAGCTGGCATCCTTCCTTCCAATTATAAGAAGGGCCAGATGCCCAGGGAGGCCTAGTTTGTTGGCTTGGGACTGAACATGCAGCTTAAGGAGTTTCTGAAGAATTATTTGGCAAATTGTATTAAGGATGGAGAGAAATGATGGATAAGATTGTCCTTAAGTTCTACATGCAGCAGTGGGAGGACAACCAGTTCTTGAGCAAAGTGATGAACAGAATTTGTGCCTACTTCAACCAACACTGGGTCTGCCTGGAGTGCAAGGGGCAGAAAGGGATCTACGAGATTATTCACTTGCTTTAGTGAATTGGAAAGACTGTTCAGCCTGTTGAATAAACAAGTCACAAATACTGTCTTATTTATTTTTAATTTTTTTTATTTTATTATTTTTGTGTGAGTGTACCATCAAATCAGATCTGACTGGTACAGGAGGAGACTGTCCCTCCTTCCCCAGCAGAGCATCTGGTGGATTCGAACCGTGCGCCTCTGGGATTGTAGTTGCAGTTCCTTGCCACTAGGCCACCAGAGCTCCCACAAATACTGTCTTAAAACTGATAGAAAAGGAAAGAAATGGTGAAGCCATCAACACAAGATTGATCAGTGGAGTTGGGAAGTATTATGTGGAATTAGTATTCAAGGAAGTTGACACATTTGCAAAGGGCTCTATTCTGTCCCTCAACAAAGTCTCATTTTGAATTTTGGAGTCACAAGGTTTTGCTGACATGGAAAGATTTTACACAAGAGAGAACACTGAATTCCTGCAGCAGAATCCTATCCCTGAGTTTATAAAAAAAGTCCGAGGCCTGACTCCTGGAGGAGCAGTGCCATGTCCATGCACACAGAAGGAGCTGGTGCACGACTGCAAGTGGGTGCTCATCGAGAAGCACCCGGAGAGCTCCCACATGGAGTTCCAGAACCTGCTGAAAGCCAACAAGAATGAAATTGAGGGCTGTATATATAACCTGGCTTCAGAATCCAGGATGGTCTAGGGGAGCTCAAGAAGCTTCTCAAGACACACATTCACAACCCAGGTCTGGCCACCATGGGAAAATGTGGGGAAGCTGCACTGAATGATCCAAAGATTGCATGCTGATATTGCTGGGCCTGCACACAGTAAGTACAATCCCTGGTAATGTCCACTTTAACAATGATGCTCTCTTCATGGCAGCACTTGGTAAAGGCCTGTGGCTGCTTCAGCACCAACAATACAATGACCAAGATGGCACAGTCTTCTGTCAAGTCCCCAGAGCTGCTGGTATGGTACTGTGACTCCCTTCTGAAGAAAAGCTCCAAGAATCTAGAAGAGATGGAGTTGGAAGGCATGCTAAACCAAGTGATGGTTGTCTTCAAGTACATTGAAGACAAAACCAAAATTCTAGAAATTCCAGAAATTCTACAAAAAAATGCTGACCAAGTGTCTGGTATACCAGAACAATGCAAGCAATAATGCCGAGGCCAGCATGTTCTCCAAACTGAAGAAGCCTGTGGCTTTGAGTACACCTCCAAGTTCCAACACATGTTTCAGGACATTGGCATGAGCAAGGACTTGAATGAGCAGTTCAAGAAGCACCTGACCTGTTCATTGGAACCAATGAAGGAAAAAACTATTTAAAAGGAATAAATGATTAGGCATTATTTGTATGACAACAATACAGAGTAAGAGGTGCATTGTGAAGTGGACTGGGGAGAGAGGGAGGGAAGAAGGAATGAATATTTTTTTTTAAAAAAAGTGAATGGGGAGGTGGGGAGGGAAAGAGGGGACATGTGCAATAATGAATAAATGAATGAAAATCCAACTTTTTCTGTAAACTTTCATTAAAATCACAATAGTAATTTAAAAAGGAAGCACCTGGCCAACTCTGAGCCCCTAAACTTGGACTTCAGCATGCAGGTCCTAAGCTCCGGGTAGTAGCCCTTCCAGCTTTCCCGTGCCTTTGCGCTGCCGCCAGAGCTGGAGAGGAGTTACCAGTGGTTTATGGCCTTCTCTGCCAGCAGAAACCATAGCAGGAAGTTGATGTGTCTGTACCAGCAGCCCAAAGGGGAATTAGTAACCAACTACTTCTAGAACAGATACAGGCCACAGGCGTCCCCATTCTAGATGGTGATTCTGCTCCAGTACAAGACAGAACATGCCTGCACAACTGACCAACAGCACGCACAATAAAATGGGCATTCTGGCCCAACTCATGCGGATTTCGTTGAAGACAAAGCTGTTGGTCCCAGAAGATGAAAATGCAAATATTGGTGAGGTGGAATTGAAGCCAGATACCGTAATAAAATTATATCTTGGTTATAAAAAAACAAAAATTAAGGATCAACGTCAATGTACTGATGAAAACTGAACAGAAGCAGGAACAGGAAAGGGCACACAAGAATGTTGAGGAAGACTGGAAACTGCTGATTCAGGCAGCCATTGAGAGGATAATGAAAATGATGGAGGTCCTAAAGCACCAGCAGCTGCTGGGGGAGATGCTGACACAGCTGTCTTCATGCTTCAAGCTAAGGGTCCTCATCATCAGGAAATGCATTTACCCCTGCCCTAATTTGTGTTGGGTAATGAGGAGCTATAGAGATTAACTGTGCACAGAAATAATATTTAAGATGGAGTTCATTGCAAAGATGCAAAGACTTTTGGGATTGGTTGGTGTGCCTTATTCCAGGGTGTTGCACATGGGCAGCTTCCTATGGAGATGGTTTACATCCTGCTATGGAAATTGTGTTCTTTCTCATTCCTATGGAAAGTCTTCCCAATGTTATCCATACTTTTTTATGATCTACACAATCAAACACCTTTGCATGGTCAATAAAACACATGTAAACACACACACACACACACACACACACACACACACGTGTTTACATTCCGATTGAGAAGGAGAACCTGGAACGAGTGGACAGGGACAGGGAGAAGGACACCTACAAATACCTGGCTTAGCCTCCTCTAGACTGGCCAGGTCAATTACACTCAAGAGCACTGCACCGGGACCAGCGGATGGCCTCAGGCCCTCACCCAATCCTATCCCTGTGTGCTCGGACAGGATGTGATATGTTGTTGTTGTTGTTGTTATTGTTGTTGTTATATGCCATCGAGTCGCTTGTGACTCATAGCGACCCTATGTACAACAACAGCCCTAAACTCGGCTCTGTCCTTTGTCAATCGCACTGTCTCTGACACTCCCATCCCGATTATCCCAGTCACTGAATCAATCCACCTCATAGAGGGCCTTCCCCTCCTGCGCTGTCCCTCCACCCTCCCAAGCATGATGTCCTTCTCCAAGGACCGGTCTGGCCTCACAACATGCCCAAAGTATGTTAGATGGAGCCTCAGAATCTGCCTCCAAGGAGCCACCTGGTTTAACCCTTTCCAGGATGAATCTGTTTGTTTTCCGAGCAGTCCATGGCACTCTCAATACTCTTGTCCAGCACCACAGTTCAAAGGCATCAATTCTCCTTCTATCCTCCTTGGTCATTGTCCAACTCTCTGATGCATAACAAGTGATTGTAAAGACCATGGACTTTATCCGACACACCTTAGTCTACAGAGAGACACCATTGCTCTTCAGTACTTGGGAGAGGTCCCTAACAGCAGACTTTCCCATAGCAATGCGCCTTTTAATTTCCTGGCTACTGGTGCCAAGAGTGTTGACTGTGGAGCCAAGCAAACTAAATCTGTGAAGAATCTCAAGCTCTTCACCACCTATCCTGATGCTGCCAATTGGTCCAGTGGTGAGAATCTTTGTCTTCTTGACATTGAGCCTCAATCCATATTGGAGGCTGCAGTCCTTGACCCTCTGCAGCAGGTGCTTCAGGTCCTCAGTTTCAGCAAGCACGGTTGTGTCATCTGCATATGAGTTAAAGACGAGGGGATGGGCCCTGAGGCTGCATGCCGCTGCATCCCCAGTTGACATGCTACACCTGGTGGCAGAGGGCAGGGCTCAGACACACTGCAAGGACATGTGTGCAGCGTGCTTCATTTTTTAATGTGTGAGAAGAAAGTTGCATTCGATTTTAAGGTTTATTAATTTCTGTATATAAATAAATGATATAATATTTATGGAGGGGGAAACCAGTTTCAATCTCTCTCTACATCCTATCTGACATTTATTGTTTGCTATGTTGTTAAACTTTGCTACTGCTGTTGAAGTGAGATGGTATCTCATTTTGATTTACATCACTCAGAGTGCTAGTGGTTTTGAACCTTTCCTCATGTGTTTCTTGGTCATCCAAGTGTCCTCTTTTGTTAAAACTTTTTTCATGTCTTTTATCCATTTTGTGATTGTGTTATCAGTCCTTTCCTTGTGGAGGTGCTGTAGTGTTCTGTAAATTTTACTTGTGAGACTTGTCTGAAATGTCATTGCCAAAAGTTTTTCCCAGTCTGTGGGCTTTCTTTTCACTCCTTTATGCCCACGGGGATTTGATTTTAAGAGGGTCCAACTCATTGATTGTATCTTCTCCAGGACAAGCATTTTTTGGCTGTCTTTGTAAGCTTATTTATGCCATGTGCCAGGGCTTCAAATTTTGTTTCCATTTTGTCTATTATGATCTTATGGTTTTGGGTTTTACCCATATGTCTCTGATCCACTCTAAGTTTGTTTTTGTATGTGGTCTGAGATGTGGATCCTGTTTCAGTTTTCTGCTGATAAATGTCTAGGTTTTGCCAATACAATTTGTTCAAGAGGCTGTCATTTCAACATTTAATAGCTTTTGTTACCTCTTCAAGTATCAATTGATG